GTTGAGTTGTTTTTCACTGACTTAAGCACTGTTCACCACTATTCAACACTGGTTCCATTCCTTTCCTAAATGAAATAGTAACTTCTGGCGAGAACTTGTTGATATTCCGGTGGGGAGGAGTGTTCAGGAGAGGGAGTTGGTATGGGCCAACATAACAGTTGACCTGACTGCTGCCAGAGCAGCGCCAGGTACGACTTGACCCTTCGGTGGCCAAGGATGAAGTGTGCGTGCGTGCGTGCCATTACAAAAGAATGCAATAATGTACAGGATGAGCATAAAGTCTTTCCCTGATTATGAAAAATCATATCTCGAAGACCATTCTAGATAGAAACATGAATGTTGTAGCATTGTGTAGACGAATTCATAGATTTTTTTCATGCATATTTTAAGCTGCAAAGAACTGTAAGTGTGTACCTATCATATGTTTTGTGTAATAAATGTTTGTAATCAGGGAAATACTTTATGCTCACCCTGTATATTTGGGAGTGACAGTTTGGCAAAAACTTGTGTACAATATGCATGTCAGTTATATGAACATGAACAGGCTCTCCGTGTGGGACAATTTAATTCTTGTTTTTGACAAAGCGTGAGGATAAAGGCGCCGGCTCCTCTCCTTCTAGATATATCATAGGCGGTGGTTTTGCTCTCATTGCACTTGCACCCTCTCTACCAAGCGAATTCTGTTTTAATTATTGTAAGTAGGGTGATTATATTGATTATGCAGTTACTTTGTATCATTGTATAAACATTATGTTCTAAAATTATTATGTTATTTCTGTTATTTTTTGATAAAGCAATTGATATTTTTTTGAAACAACAATTGAATTATGAAACATTGAAATATTTTTCTATTTGTCAGATAGTGTGAAGATATAAAATTGAAGACAAAAGTCAGTTGTGTATTACATGAGCCTGCTAGTTGAGTAGGAAGGAGCTTCCTGTCAGAACTTTTCCAACAGTGAGAGACATGCTAGATTAGGGTTACTCACCGGAAAAAAAAATGCAAGGACAGAAGGAACTATACAGATAAAGAACTCGCAAATGACATGATAGTCCCTCTTCATCAATGGACAAAGCTAATGCACTATTCAAACCACCTGTGATTAATCAGTGTGTCGAACTATTGAGCTAAAACTAACAGAAATTATGGCACAAGCAGTTGAAACATCATAGTAAAGGAAACTTGTGAAAATGAATTTCTACACACACTTGATATCTGTTTGACATTTTTGACCTGCAAGTGCTCCATACAATTATGTTCTGAATCAACTGTTCTCACTCAGGTAAGAGAAAATAGTTCCCATTGATTGTGGTTAATCCTCTGAAAAGAAGATCCTGTTTTTAAGAGCTTGAATTTATAAAGGCACAGAGGACAAAGGCAGAAGGCCAAGGAAGTATGCAAATGGGTTTAATAGATTATTCAGAAACAAGGCAGATTGCTAATGCCAAGAGAACAAATCGAGACAAAGAAAGAAAATGAAAATTGAAGAAAGCCATCAAAGAGAGGAAGAGCTGTGTCAAGATGTTTATCATATGTTTGATAGTTCTTCTGATGAACAGGAAACAACATCAGATGATGATTTGAGCCATCTGAACCTTCAAGAAAATCAATACAACACAAGAAATATTTCAAACATTGCTTTTAGCTGTGGTAGCCACCATGCTGGACTAGTGAGGGCTGCAGAATTGCAACTGCAGCCGGATGGATGCAGGCCTCATCAGCCGAGAGCATGTATCTTTAATTGATGAATCATAATAAGAGAGCACAAGAAAAATAATGGAAGGAAATATCTGATCTTGGCAAAAAAGATTTAAGGAGACTCTCCTGTCTTTTGTTGATGGAAGAATAGATGACACAAAGGATTTTGCTGAAGTAGAGGATTGAACAGAAAGTTTCAGGTCTCATCAAAGAAGAACACTTCTCTGTCTGTTCTGAGCTGGTGGTCAGTTTTTGTTTTCACTTGCTCCCGAAACTGAAGTAGAAGGGAAGAAACATGCAGAGGTCATTGCTGATCATATTTTATGTGGGTTCAGGAGAGGACTTGGCAGTTCTGCAGGTGTTGGTGGAGGTCCAACTGCAGTGAACACGGATCTTCAGGGTGTAATGGCGCATTTAGAAAAAACTAGGAAAGACTTGTTTGGATTGTATGTGATTTACGCCTGGTAGGCTTCTCTTAAATCCTCATCCGAAGACAGTGGTCCTACAAGAGCAACAACAAGTGGTCAGGTCCCTTGGCATCATGCTGGATGAAGCAACACAACTAGAAACCATTGTTTCAAAGGTCGAGTTGGCCCTCCCTTCGGCGTTTGTCTGGAAGGAGTCATCAAGATCTCAGCACAGATCAATCCCACTATGCTTCATTATTGCCCAACAATAAGATCGGGAATGCCTCCAGTCGTGGCTCTCTTGGAGATTGGACCTGTCAGTCACAGCCGTTGGTTAACTGGCTCTTCTTCATTTCTGCAGGATTTGGTTCCAAACACGAATTGAAGGGCAAAGTGCTATGAAATTTGAGGTTAATTGTTGAATTTATTATTATTGGAGTTTATCTTCCCCCGGTGATTTGGTAGCCAAACTTAATCTATGGGTGGATGGGGTAAATCACCTTTGTTTCAATTGCAGCTGAAAAATGCAGAACACAGAGGTAGTGAGGACATCGTGTTACCTGTGGCAAGAAGGTCAGCAGTATGCTTTCGATCAAGCGATTTTGCAAGCAATGCTTCCGTCAATGTGCCAATCTCGAACCGGGGCTGTGAAGTCATTCTAAAAGATTAGAGGGCAGCTAATAGATGGCGACCAGTTGGGAGACTGTTAATTTTCATTCAGAAAAGTTCTAATAAATGTCAATGCCACCAAATTGTCAGGGATGGTTGACTTGAGTTTGGAAGTCTTAGAGCCACCATTGACAACAAGTCCTAACCCATGAAGTGAAACCTTAAAGACTCAATGCAGGTGCGAAGTGGCCTTCCCACACCTCAAAGTGTGGAGATGTGTGGTCACAAACAGCGGGCCCATGTTTACAGCCACGAGGCGAGAAGGTTACATCAAAGCACAAATAGCAAGCAGACTATGATGACAAGAAACCGAAAACAAAAGAGAGTATGAAGGCATTGGTTACTTTCAAATAGACTAGGATAATAAAATATAATAATTTGAAACTTGAAACAGTATTTATGTGTGCAAGCGCTAGTTTATGTTATAAATTCACAAATATGTACATTTAAAATCCATTTGATGTAGGTAGGACTTATTATAAAAATTTATGCCAGAATGTTGTTTGCATGCTAAAGACTACAATAAATTGCTACCAAATTACTCGATTTTCAATTTAGCCAGTTCACCCTAAATTGACACACACCCTAGTGGCCAAGGATGAAGTGTCGTCGCGTCGCGTTACCATTGCATTACAAAAGATGCAATAATGTACAGGGTGAGCATAAAGTCTTTCCCTGATTATGAAAAATCATATCTCGAAGACCATTCTAGATAGAAACATGAATGTTGTAGTATTGTGTAGACGAATTCATAGATTTTTTTTCATGCATATTTTAAGCTGCAAAAAACTGTATGTTTGTACCTAGCATATGTTTTGTGTAATAAATGTTTGTAATCAGGGAAAGACTTTATGCTCACCCTGTATAGTGTATATCATTGTTTCTACTTATTAATAAGCTAGCTGTAAGATAATTCGTGCACATCACTTTTATGTAATAAACTAAATACTGTCAACAAAGTGTATTTTATGTATTTTATTTTGACATTATATTTGTGGTAATGAGTATACACAAAGCTGATCAATTTTGAAATTGTGTTTAAATGTCCGTAGAAGTTTGTCTGGGATTTCTCGGCTTGGGACCACTGTGCGGCGCGGTGGTTGGTAGGGGAAGGAGTGTTGCTAGGAAATCGGCGGAGGTAGTGTCTCCATTGCTATGGTGAACAGGGAGTACAGATGTATTTGCAAATGGCAATTTTGTTAAACTTTCATTTGGCTTTTATTTACTGATTTAGCAGTATGTACAGTATTTTTTTTTATAACTTATTTATGGGTATTATTTTTATTTATTCCTCACATAATGGTACTGTATATATTGTTTTAAGAAAACTATGGCTACAAAAGGAAAATGCACACAAGTTTTTTCCTAAACATCTGCTAAAATAAGGTGCGTCTTATATGCCGTAAAATATGGTATGTCCCAGTTATCGGGTCGAGTACAGTATACAGTATTTTCAACTTAAGAACATCCGTAGAAACAGGACATACAGCTAGACCCCGACTTACGACTGCTTCGACTTACGACCGTCGGGACTTACGACCGCCGCAGTTGTGACCATTTTTTTTTTTTCCCTGAAAATGACGCACGCATTTTCTATACCGAAACGTTTCCAGTTAATGTAGTCTCCATTTATAATTAGAAAATTATGGGGGCCCCATGTGCATTCACCTAACTACATTAAAGGTAAGTGCTCAGTCACACTATATCCATTCCTCATTATTTATTACTTTTACTGTACTGTATTTCATTGTAGATTTTTTCTTGAAAATTTATTTTTTTATTTATTTATTTTTTATCTGTCGGACTTACGACCATTCGGACTTACAACCTGGATTTGGGTCCCTAACCCCGTCGTAAGTCGGGGTCTAGCTGTATATGCAACCTGGGGACTGCATGTATATAATTACAGTATAATGTATTCACTCACAAAAAGCTGTGTCAAAAGTTTACATCAACCACTTCTCATCTGTGTGTGTAATCTTTACTCTTTTTCCCTCTCTTGTGTACCAAGAGAGACAGAAACCATTTTTTCTGTTGTTAATTTTTAAATTGTAGTTATCGTTGGATATTACCCTGAAATATTTTCATTTGTCTTAAGGTCTTGTACATAAAACATATGATTTTGTTTTGTAATTTGGTTTTTATAATTATGAGTACTGTACAATATAATCATTAAAGGATAGAGCTATTCTATGGTGTTGGAACATGTGCGCTTCTTTACACAGTTCTCTCGGCAATGATCCGTGGGGCTGACATTGATGGCCAGTTTGTCACTAAGGACTACAAAGAAGAGGAGCTGTCTGGCATCCTGGAGGATTTCTTCACTAAAGTTCTTGGCAGGGACAGTAAGAACAGCCTAGACTGGAAGACCTATGAGCCTATGTAGAATATTTGTAATGATGTTATGTTTGACCACAAAAGCACATGTACTTTAGAGGTCTGTACACACTAGTCACCTCTGCTTGTTCCAGTTGAGTTAAAATTCCTTGTCTTACAGGGGTCACTCTCCAGTTGTATTGTACTTGAAGTCAGTTGTGATAGTATTATACCTGTAATGATTTTTTTTTTTACAGGATTAGCCCACAGGTCAATGACCCACATCAGGGCCTGGGGGCAAAAATACAATGCTAATAATAATACTAATTAATAAAAATTAATAAGGAATTATGCAAATATTAAATAGAAATATATAATAATATTAATAATAATAATAAAGGACCATAGATAAATGCACCCCCCCCCCCAAAAAAAAAAAGATCAATAGTGAGAAACGATATACATGTATGTATGTTGTTTTGTCAAAGTAAGAGAAACATTGAAACCCTGCAATTGTGTGTAAATGTGGCAGAAAGTCAAATCAGCATCCTGGGACTTGGTCACAATTTTTGTGATGCCATATGGCAGCAGGGTCTACCATTAGACAATACATTATGCTTCCAATATCTTCCTAGGTGGTAGTACCTCCCTGTTTGGTAGCTGCCTACTACCTACTACTTAATTCATACACAACAAGTTAGAAAGATACACTGCAATATAATTTCTATGTTGTGCATGAATGTTTCATTCAGTTTGTTATTACTGCATTGTTTTGCATGTTCTTTATTATTGTATGAGTATCTTGTTATATTAAACAATGATAAAATTAGTTACTGGTATTTGTATTACAATGTCAGTGTGAATGTTGCACATTATTAGGTTCTCAGTACAGTATAGTCTGCATTTACGCGGTCAATTGAACCCGTGGAGGTCCGCGTAAAACGAGAAATGCGTAAACGAAATAACAGAACCTATGGGATTAATTGAAATAGGGACTGGGCCGACCCCCAAACTCCACTTTTTCCGACACAATACGTACGTTGTAGTAAACTAACATCTTAATTTTATGATGGTATGCACACACAATTAATAATTAAGAGAAATATCAATAATATTAGGTTTTTTAACACTTTCGTTAGTAGAAAAGCTGGGTTGGCACACGTGGATGGCGGTTGGTTCCGAGGCAGAGGGCAGATTAGTTGCCCTCCGGTGAATCACTTTCACTTTCACTACTCGCACAGATTTGCAGGGCTTCCCAGACAAACCCCTCAAAGTCCATATCCTCACTGTCACTATCACTGACTTGGACTGGCTGTGGTTGTGGTGGGTTGCGGGCGAGGAACTCCTCAATACTACGTTGACGACTAGCATTGATGTTGTCGAGATAGATCTGGATATACGGCTCCATAACTTTCGACAGATGGTTATTAGACACTTCATACCGATGCTTGTCTGGGTCATTGTCAAGGATGAGCTTAATTTTCTCCCCCAACTCGATGATTTTCTTCACATAATCATGGCTTGGTCCAGGTAATTCAAGGTTTTTCTCGGGTGGTGGGGGTCCAGCGGAAGCCATTGTGAGGGGAATAGCTGGCACAAGAGAGAACTGTATACGCGGACTGAGAACGATGAGACAGGCCCGGCTAGGTCAGCGACTTCTACCCTCTGGTGGCAGGGCACGTCATGTTACATTAGACCAATCACAGCTAGCGGCGGAGGGAATGCGTGGGTGGTAAGGGTGCGTGGCCCAATCACAGTCCGATACTTCATATGACGTCAGCGATAATGTAAGAGCGGCCTAATGCGCACCACTCACCGCGCCACTTCCCACGTATGGTCAAGAATGGACCGCGTGAGTAAAAAATGGCGAGGCGGTCTGGACCTCTCCAGCCGCTTGCCGCGTTAATGATGAAATTTACCGCGTAATTAAAACATTTCATTCTGGCAAGGCACCGCGTAAATGGCCAAACTCGTAAACAAAAACCGTGTAAAGCCAGACTGTACTGTATTGATAAATTTGAAATTATTCCTTCATATTTGCATGTATAAAACAGTGAAGTTTGGTGATTGTCACACTGTGAGCTTGATGCAGAAGGATTATCAAATGAGATGGTTTGTGTATCAGTGGTTTGAGATATTATTATTAAGACTAGTATGTATTTTCTTACTAAAGTAAATAGGACTCCAAAATTCAACCATTGTAAACCCAAGCATGAGGAGTATAAGGAAGGTATAAGTATCTTCCCCTTTTAAGACAATTTATAAACTATGAATTTGAGAAGCTATAATAATTTTACAAATATAATGTTTGGTACACCAGATATGCGAGGCAGTCTTTACATAAAAAATAATCATTTATGGACCCCTAAAGCTGCGGCCACACTAGAGTTTCTATCCAAAATAAATCCAGCGTAGCATTGATTTGTCAATTAACTCCTCAAGTTGTCTCTACAGTGACAACTTATTTGTTGTTGAAAGTGGAACGATACAGAGCATCTAAAAATCCATGGTAGGGTGGGTTGAAATTTGCTTTAGAGAGTCTATTGTATTAATAAAATTTACACTTCTTGTTTTTTCTTATTAATGTTAAAATGTAAAAAAAAAAAAAATTAAAAGTGCATTTCAATAATAAAACATTAGCAAAAATGTCATAGTAAATAGAAAATAATAAAAATACATCATGACTGAAATTTCATTTGTCTCTAGAGTACTTGCGTCACTTTTGTAAACAAACATCGGTTGGATGCTACAATTGTTTCTTTTTCGTCTTGGTCTTCTTTAACAGGATCACACATCTCACTAAAGTGGTTAATGCTGCCATAGAAACATACAGTGAAACCATCCTGCTCTCCAACTTAGCACCAACTAGCCGTGCAAGCTGGGTGCCTGGTCAATGGTTCCTTTTACCAGTGTGCGGATCGTGCCGTCATCTTATTGCCTGTAGATGAAATGCTATCGTGGATTTATTATACAGAAAACTCTAGTGTGACCGTAGTTTAAGATATAGCACTGGCAAGCACCTCAAGCAGAGCCTGCCTTTGCCTATATTATTGTGATGTTTAAGAGGGACATTAATGTATGATGTATTGATGCAAGAGATGAAAGCATTGCAACCTTCTCACCCACAGATCCTTAAGATAGCCAGTGGATTCACACACATATATATGTAGGCAATGCATACGAGAGGCTTTGGAGTGAAATATCTCACGAATCTCTGATTCATCTTCTTAACCATAAAATGGGATTTCTTACTTGAAAATCAAATTTTAAACACCATACATTTACACTTGGGGCTTTCTCCTGACAGATGACTCATGCCTGGAGTCTGATAATAATGTATTTTTCCAATATATCTTTTATAGTTATTAATAAAGCAAGTGAATTTTCGGTCCATGTTCATTTTACCTTGGATGTTTCATTGAAAGCATGAGCACCTTACTTATTTTTCTATTAATCAAGTTTATCTACTTTGGTTAGCACACTTATCTTTTACAATTTGTGTAACGCAGATTCTCAAATTTTTTTCTCCATAATGATTTTGCTGCCTAAACCCTTGAAACATAATTATTGCTGACAAATTTCCTGTAATTATCACACTCCAAACCCCTCTCTCAACACGTGCTGTACTATCATTTTTGCTCTTCATATTCCAGATGGTTGTCATTTTTACGTGCACTAGTGTGACATGAATCACCTGTCTCATCCACCAAACTTAGCCTCTTGTGCAGCATCAGTTTCTTATCTATGGGTTTCTCAGCACTCCTGCAATTAGTTTACACTGAAGATATTTTAACAAATTGGCATTCCTACTTTTTAATGTGAGTGTGTAATTCTTTTTTGCTTGGTAGTCTTACTACTTTAGTACATCTTGCTCATCTACTCAATCAGTAGTTACCCCATAGTTATCGTGTAGAATTGTGATAGAAATTACAGTACTTCTCTAACAACCCTGAGAATTTGCTCAAACTTTCTTGTTACCTTACATGATTGAAAGGCTTATGCCTGTACTTTCATCTGACGGTCATCCTACTTTCTCTCATTATAATGGTGTTCTTATTTTTATTTGTAGTTCCTGTTCCTTATATTTTGCACTTACTACAGAAATATAGTCAGTTCCAAGCCTTTCCTTCAATTCTGCTCCATAAATAATTTTTTAGGTAAAATTGTACCCCAGTACAATACAGGGCAATCCACTCCAAAAGCTTTTGCTGCTCTAAGTGATTCATCTTATGTCAAAGGTTGCACACTGAAATTATATTATTTACCCAAAAATGTGTTTTCCTGTAGCTTTTACATGAATGAAAGTCAAAGTGGGTTTGTGCTGTAAGGTGTGAAGCTGATGAAAATCATGTACTGTAAGCATATTCCGGTCAGGTGAGTTTAATGAAGCATATGAAGGTACAAGTAGTAGGAGAAAGAAAGAAAGTTTGTAAGTAAAATTGTACTAAAGTTAGAAATATTTTCCTAATGGCCACCCACTACAGGTGGCCATGCCAAAGAAAGGGGGCCAGTGGCTTGTGTTTAATCCCTCCTTTATTTTTGATAATTTTGTCTCAGACTATTTTGAAGCTCAGTACTGTACTGTTCTTGATTCCATAGCTTGATCTGGTAGACCATTCCATAGGTCTACAACCTTCTGTGTGAAGAAGTATTTCCTTATGTTCATTATGCATAATAATTTGGCGAGCTTGTAGTTATGTCCCCATGTGTTGGTGGTGCATGACATCGCAAAGAAATGGCCTGGGTTCAATATCTGCCCTATTACGCCTTGTCTGAAGGATTATTAGTCTTAAAGCCCTCAGTCTCCTTAGATAATTGAGATGACATAGTTTGGAATCATCTTGGTTGCTCTGTGTTGCACCTTTTCTAAGGATGTTAGGTCTTTTCTAGAGTTTCCATGTCTGTATATAGTAATCCAGATTGGAACATACTTGAGATATATACTGGTGAAGGAGCATTATCCCATCTTTTTATTTGTTGGCACTATAATTCTCAAATCTCGGTTTACTTTTCTCACTGCTCCCCCCACTTGTTGCACTGCCTTCAGTCCGTCTGTCACAACGCCAAGGTCTTTCTCCTTATTGACAGTATCCAGGAAAGTGTTAGTAACAGAATAGCTGTGATTAAGGTTGTTGTATCTTACGTATATGGTCTTGCAGTTTGTAATGTTAAAGAGCATTTGCCAGTCTTGAGATCATTTGAACAGCTTATTCAGGTCTTTCTCCATTGTTGTGACATTGTATTGAATTTCTACATTCCCAAATATCTTCATGTCATCAACAAACTTGACAATGTAGCTCGATATATTTTCATCTATGTCGTTTATGTAAACCACAGAAAGGGTGGG